GAGGAGGAGGAGGAGGAGGAGGAGGAGGAGGAGGAGGAGGAGGAGGAGGAAAGTATCTAAGAGGTGGAAGGGCTACATCAGGAGGGGAGACGATGGGCCCCACAGGAGGATGGAGATAAAGGGCCAGGCCCCAAGCAGGGAAGGGGGATGAAAGGCCAGGAGCCTCTGCCTCTGAAGTTTCTTAAAATTTAAGTCCCCCTCTCCTCTTTCTGACATTCCTGAGAGATTACCAGCCAGCAATAGCCCAGGGCTCCCCCTAGAGAACCGTTTCAGATTGTAATTACCAGTTAGGTGGTGTTTTTAAACCTTAGTAATGAGAAGCTGTGAGTCAAGTGTTACATTGAGCTTAGGGTGGAAGGTGGGGTACAGGGCAACGGGGAAGAAACCAGAAGGAAGCTAGAGACAGAACACAGGAAATACCTGTGCCCAGGTCGCCAAAGTCTCCATCCTTCCCACCGTCTGTATCACGATTACTTTCAAACACTGCTCAGAGAGAGTCCCTTTAAGAAATAAGCTTCTTCATCTTTGTCAATGGGACAGTTTAAACCTTGCGTTAATGATTACAGAATGTTTTGGGTTACTCCAACTGTTTTTTTTTTTCTCTCCCCATTGAAATCTGTTTCTTGTATGGTTCAGAGAATGACAAACTGTCAAGGAAAGAGTTGGAATGCTAATACATGCTAATATCAACTGGTAAGGGAGAAAAGACAAGACGCGGCCAGAGAAATAACTTAAATGCACATTTGCTTTGGATGCACTGCTGTTCTGTTGAGGCTGTATATATTTGTTTATTTAAGATGACTGAACGTGCAAAGAGAAAGCATTCAATTCATCTTAATGTACAAAACGTTATATGCACTCAAATGTTATAATTTCTAATATTTTTAAAGTTTATATTCGAGTTGTACAAAGTTAAGCATTAATCAGATATTTCATTCTTTCATAATGTTATCATTTTCTTAAATATTATTACAAAATTTTAAGTGTGTCTAATGGAGAGTTTTTTTTGAAACTGTCTACCTCACTATAATACAGATTTTGACAACACTAAAGTTATCAGAGGTTGATTAATATTCAAAACATTTTTATAGTATAACTTCTTAGATGATATGGAATCTGGTTAATTCTGTCTTATTAAACTCATTTTCCCCTTAATAACTCAGCCTGGTTTATGTGGATCTCTAGAAATCATTTTCTCAAGAAATTATTGTTCACAGTATTTTGTTCCGGTACCAATTGGAAGACACTAATTGTTCAAAAGGCTACTGTCATGAGCATTATTTTACTTCAAAACTGTTATTAACTGCTTCCATAATTTTTTAATTCATAAAATTAAAGTCAAATCCTGAATAGCCATTTAACACTGTGCCCTATCACACAAGACTGAAAGTGCAAAGAGAAAACATGCAATTCATCATGAGTCTTGTCTCAAGAACCTACGTAGGAATTTGAGTCTTCCACAGTTTCTTCTTGAACTCAGGACTTCCCACAGGCTAAGTATGTGTTCTACAACTGGTTGCATCTCTGGGCCCTACACACTTCTTTAATTACCGATTAACACCCACATCTATGATAAACAACAGGCGATCCATACAATGTGTTTTTTGTTTTGTGTTTCTTGAACATTTGCAGACTGTTATATAGGTTCAAGTCTGAAAGTTCATATGTTAGGCACAGAGAATGGTTGAGTGTATTACCTCAGATCACTCAGAAACTCCATCAGATAGGATCAACGTAGACTCTTTTATAGAAGAGTAACTGATGTGCAGAGAACTTAAGCAGCCTGCTAGCGACTGTCCAGTCAAGCAGTGGTTGTTCAGATTTAAATTCAGTCTTCCAGACGACAGAACCCAAAGATCTACTTCTCTTTTGGTCCCCATATGCCTGCACAGACAATATATGGTTAGCCACCATGTTAAATGATTGCCAGCCGGAGAATAGAGCAGAACCTGCCACAAGGATGGCAGCAATGTCTCCAGTCTTGTAGCATGTTACTCAAACTGATGCATGGTGACAACTCAGAAAATGGCATCTGGAAAATTACATAGGGGCTAATCAACTCAGAGTTGCTAGCTTTGAGCTGTTCAGAAAAAGTGATGGTTTAAGTCATTGCTAGGCTTTGGAATTTTCTAGACTTTGCCACTGCCTTGAATGTGATTTTTGTGAGTTCTGATTATTAAAATAACAATGAATTTACAAGTAGGATATGTTTTAGAAGACTGTTTATATGTAAGTGGGCTGTTTAAACTTTTCCAACATGGAATTAATGTCTCTTGAATTCCTAATCATTTTGTAAATGCTTTATTTGCTCAAACTGAAAAATTTGAAGACATAGTCTTCTGTATTTTGCAAACGATCACCTGGCAAAACATCATGGGCTCTTTCCATTTCCTCCGAGCAGGCCTTTTCCCAGAGCTGAGAGAACTTCGCATTTTTACCACTCTTCCTATCACAACACCCAATTCCCCCGACTTCCAAATCCAGCACCAAGTCTCATTCTATACAGGGGCCCCCACCACACTCTCTCCTTCTGTACAACCGAGCTTCCATTATTTCCTCTATCAGAAAGTTTAGGCCCTAACTTAGGGGAAACACAATCTAATTGAATTATCTAAAGATATAAATGTATCTTAGTTCTTAAGATTAGAGGTACTTGCATTTTAAGAAATATCTTGCTTCATTTGGTTTTCTCCGAGAAGTAGTAGCAGCAGCAGCACAAGTAGTTGTTGTTCTAGGCAACACTCCAGAAGATTCAGTGTGCAAACCAGTTAGTCACTGATGATACATGGATGAATAGAGACACTGTCACAGGAGAACTTTGGTGTAATGAAAAAATGAATTATGAGCTTTGTTTTTTGTCCTTGTTGTTGAGAAATGTCTCACTATGTAGCTCAGGCTGGTCCTAAATTTATGTTCGTCCTTCCCCAGCCTCATAAGGGCTATGATGACAGGAATAAGCACAGTGGCTTCATGACCAAAATGTGTAACATTAGTTTTCAATATATAAAAGCAAAATATTCAATACTGGCCTTTTTCTAACTTCTTAAGCTTAATGTATATAGGTCCCATTGAGATAAGGTTTTTTGTATTTACTTTATTCATAGCTTTAGTCCTAGTATTCAGTACCTAATCTGACATCTAGGAGACACTTAGCAAATATACTAAGTGATTATGTTCATGAATTCTGCTCAGTTTACAAACTTACTTGTAGCAGTCACATTCAAGGGATTAATGCATGATTAATGTCTTTTCAACACAAGTTGAATGAGTCAATCTTCCTTAACTGGTAATTCTAGAGGCTGTAGAGACGGCTTCGTGGTTAAGAGGATGGACTACTGCTCTTCCAGAGGACCTGAGTTCAGAACCGAACATCCATATTGTGTGGCTCACAATCTCCTGTGACTCCAGCTCCAGGAGATCCAACACCCTCTTGTGGCCTCCAGGAACATCTACATTCACATGCTGGTATTCACAGATAGACAGACAGACAGACAGACAGACACACACACACACACACACACATAGACACACACACATACACACTGCATTCACATGCTGATATCCACAGACAGACAGACAGACACAGACACATAGACACATATATACACATTATTTTGAAAAAATTTAAAATACAAATTAATTCTAGTCATAACCTTAGTTAACAAATGGTCTTTAAATCTTTCAGATTGTTTTTTAAAATCACATAACCCAAATTTATTTTAAAATCTTCAACTTTTCTAACAGGTGATAAAACAAAACAGATCCTTCTTATATTATAATACTTTTTATGTAAAACCAATGAAGTCAGTTTCTAAAGATGGCGATTTACAAGTTACATTAAGCATTCTAATTCTGTTTGTGTCTTTTGTCTGTGCACTAGAGACCCGAATACTCATTCAAAGTCGAGAGAGAAAGAGAGAGAGAGAGAGAGAGAGAGAGAGAGAGAGAAAGAAAGAGAGAGAGAAAGAGAAAGAACTCGTTAGATACTTTGGCAACCCCATTTTTTATTGTTTAAAGCTATTTCACCTACCAAGTACACACATAATATTTTATAAATATTTTAAATACCAAATATACACAGATTGTCCCACTAATTTAAGAACATTTTTAAATTAACATTAGTATTGATGCTTAGTTCTCATTTATCTAACATTTTATACTATATTTGAAATTTTTTTGAGTTAAGAACATTGACCAGCTAGTCATGGTGGTCCATGACTACAATTCTATCACTCTGGAGGCTGAGAAGGAAGAAGGAAGGCCAAGAGAGGCGGCATAGTGGATTTGAGTACTTCTATATAAGTAAGCATAAGGACCCAAATACAGTCCCAAGCATCTATCATGTAAAAAGCAGCCAACAACTCCAGCACTCAGAGCTTGGGAGGTTACTGCTGCTATAGGAGGATTGCTGGAACTTGCTGTCCAGCCAGCTTAGATGGAGAAACATAGAGTTCCAGGTTCAATGACAGACATTGTCTCAAGGGTGTAAGGCAGAGACTGCCAGAGAAGGACACTCAAATATCCTCTGTATGGTCTGCACGTGGATTTACTCACACATACCATATGCACTCATGCACTCATGCACATGCACACTCATATACCATATATGCATATGTGCACATGCACACACACATACCAGATGCATATGTGCACATTCATCCACACAAGACATACATATGTACACACACAAAAACATATACCAAATGCACATATGCATATGCACAAACATATACCATATATGCACATGCACACATATACCATGTATGCGTATGTGCACATGCACACATACACACACATACATCACATGCGTATGTACACATGCACGCACATATACCACATGCATATGTGCACATGCACAGACAGAAAAACACACAGAGTTTAAAGCCAGCTTGGCTACAGATCAAGACCCTGCAAATAAACAAGCAAGCAAG